ATAAATTAGAAAGTATCACATTTGATTAAAATGTTATATGAAAATTTAAAAAATGTTAAAGTAGTGCAAATAACAAAGAGCACATAAAATAGTGCAAATAACAATTAGCTTATGGCGAAATTGGGTACGTGGTATAAAAATCCCTTAGTGAATAGTGCATTCCGCTATAAAAAATGCCCTTTGTTTTCGTAACAATAAAAATTAACTCAACTATAATAATAAACAATGGCTATTTTCCGAAAAAATGGGATTGTGGAGATTTTCTCGTATGCAACAGTGAAAATATGCGGTTTAATAATAAATTAGAAAGTATCACATTTGATTAAAATGTTATATGAAAATTTAAAAAAATGTTAAAGTAGTGCAAATAACAAAGAGCACATAAAATAGTGCAAATAACAATTAGCTTATGGCGAAATTGGGTACATGGGATAAAAATCCCTTAGTGAATAGTGCATTCCGCTATAAAAAATGCCCTTTGTTTTCATAACAATAGAAAGTAACTCAACTATAATAATAAACAATGTCTATTTTCCGAAAAAATGGGATTGTGGAAATTTTGTGCGTATGCAACAGTGAATTAGCCTTTGGTTTACTTGAGCTTTTAATTAACTAATAATCGTTCCGGCCGGTATACAATGCATCTTGTTGACACTAACCTTTTCGTGGCTGAGTGAATTCATTTATATATAGTACCAAAGTCCCACATGCCATTTTACAGTCTGATGTTCACATAACAACACTATTTCATATAAGCATCAAAAGTCAACGCCAACACTTCCCATCCCTAAAATGTAAACGACACTTTCCCTCTAGTACATATATCTCTCGCAGTCTCATAACTCCTTGAACAGTGACGAAACCAAAATTTAAATTGAGGAAGCAGTTAAATTGTTTTTTAAAAAGATTCAGTAACACTCTTGCTATCACCATGTACACATAAACAACCTTTGATGATGCTCCCTTAGTAGCTAATAGCAGGCTTGTTCTCCTGCGCCATCCCTAACAATTGCTCGACAAGATCTGCATTTTACGTATTAACATCTCAAACAACGAGAAGGATCAAAATCCTATCTAAACTACATGTAGCTCCGACCCCGACTCCAAATATAACACACAAAGAAAAGTCTAGAAACTTATCCGCAACGTTTTCTTAAACGAAAATTGGTCCAACAAAATACAGAATTACTACGTATCGTCAAAAGAGTACAAAATGTTATTAAAACTGTTGCCCCCCACAGCGCTCAACGACACTGATGGGATGCATCGTTTGTGGCCATTGGAGCTTTTGCCTGATCCCCACCGGACAAAAACCATTCCGCGGTGGCGTGCATCGACAGTGACCCAACTTCATTTCCCCCAACCTACCTTCATATGTGTTTACTCAATGTTAATCATGATCTGCTTGCCCGCCTGCATGCAGGGGCCGCCTGTAACTCCTCTGTCGCCTGACGTGGAACGGACCAAAACACGATTTCCTTCTTCCCCATCTCGCCTAAACTCGATCTCAGCATTTCGGTTCAGTCCTGTTGCTGTTCGACTCCTTCATTTCGGGGCGGACAAGCTTTTAATACTTCGTCTACGACAAGGCTATACGTTTCGTCACGTGGCGAAACCTCTACCAATTAAGAAACGACAAGCCTCTCGCAGCCGCGCATTCATGACTTAACAGACATATATATTGGTCCACCGGCCTGATCATGATGATATTAATTATATAACGTACTGTTTCGGAGTCAAGTTAGAACGCTAATCATCATCATCACCAGTCGTTGTTTCGATAACGTGAAACGTTTTACATGCAGGATGGCTGGTGATGTGAAGGTGATGGTGATGCAGGTTTCACGTACGACTGCCAAGTGCTTATCGAACCGACATGGTGGATGGTGGCTCGATCGGAGTGAGATACGAAGCTTCAGTCTAATCAACCAAGTTGAATAGTTAGGCACTGTATTTGTCTTTTGATGCCACCGGTAATGATGAACTGTAGAAGAAAGGTTTGTGTACATATGTGGTGGAGTGGTCTTTTCTTTTCACTGATCATTACTGCAAGTGACCAAATCCAGGGTCAAGTGACCAATTAATCGTCATGGTTCAATGTCTCTCTTTGGAATTTGGATTTGCATGATTGGCAATTTGGCAAGATAGGAGTTTTAGTAGAATCCCAAGTTTTCAACTAGTAGTAAAGTGGATGAGGTCAAAATTTTCAATCTTATTCTTTATTATTTTTTTCTTATTCATAAAGAACTCGTCTTTTACAACTAAAGTAAATAATCAAGTTTGAGATGAATTGAAGATCTAGTAATTCAACACACGTTTAGCTAATGTTGACATGTCGATATATTCTTTCATGACACCTGATGTTGTGTAATTAATTTTAGATCGGCATAGTTCATAATGAACAATCGAATTAACGTTAATTGACAAGACGTGATTTGGATGAAATGGAAGGAGTTCTTGTGAGAATTCTGAAATTAAACGACCAGCTCAGTGTGGAGCAGTGCAAAGATGGGTAACCTCTCAAAAAATCATCATAATACGCCCAAAAAGTAAAATCACACGGAGTATATTACCCAAAGCGAATCATATCTTAATTGAAAAAGAATTGAAATGTTACAACAATCGTATTTATAAGTACAATGACATATTTGAGGCAAAAAGAAAATGGGTTGAGGGTATAGCTAAAAATGAAAAAGGCATTCATTTGACTGGTGATGATTTGATGAAACCACACCCACAGGTTTTAAAGAAACAAGACTTGTTGGTATAACATGTAGAATCGAAGACATACAAGAACTGTATAATAAGGTCCATTGTCAGTGAAGTTATTTTGTTAGTGAACGAAAATCAGGAAAGGTGAGAGCAAAAAGTGTGAGCTAGTTTAAACTTTAAACCGAATCAATTTATTCAGAAAGGTATCAGTACTGGCTGCATGTGCCCTACAATTGATCATGTTTCAGGCTTAGAAGAATAAGGAATCATAAGTTGAAGTATGATAATTGATGGGGTGAAATTGGACCGAACCGAATCGTTGGTCCTGCTAATATTTTTTTTTAAACATCGATTGTATAGGATCAAATATCTAATTGATCATGCAACATGATTCTTCTTTGATCATGTCTGGTTCGTATTAGTAGGGTCGAATCGGATAAGGTCAGTGAGTCGGCTCACATAGATAAAAACACTATACGAAAACTCTCTTTTGTACGTCACGATAATTTAACAAAAAAGAAAATAATATATAGAAGAATGATTCTCCTCTTTTGTGACATATTATTGACTGCATTGAAAAATGACCACCTTCAAAAATAGTAAATTAGTTCCATACTCTTCACATGAATAAGAATGAGCTCTCACAGCCGTTGGATCAGCTCCTTGGCTGTTCAACCACTCCCACTAAGTCCCAGTTGGTCAACAGAGGAGTGGTGATGATGCTGACTTTTTTTTTTTGCTGTAATCGTCAGCAGCATATCGAGCCGCATGGGAAAGGAGTGAAATTTTGGGAAACCCATAATACTAAAAACTTATATTTGTAATGGATATATAGATATTATAAAATGTAGTAAAATTAGGCTTAGGCCAACAAGGCTTGTGAGTAAGTAAAGTAAGTAAGCCCTTCGTCCGGAAGTCATTGCCCGGTCAAAGTGGTGAGAAGGCCAACCGAAAGTAACTGTCAACCCAAGAAAGAAGAAAATAAACAAACCACCCCCACTCTGCATTGTCAATAAAACTTTGTTTTAACAAAGGAAGGATAACATGACAAATTGCGAGAACATGCAAAAAGAGCAAAAGGATTCCATTGAACCTCATCTACGAAAGACCCTCCTATCCCAAGTGTTAAGCTTTCGTTCTCGTTTTTCATTTCCATTTGCTCAATTGTGAGGATAATTTTGCGATGGCGATTTAGTTCTTCAGTGTTAGTTCGCCGGGTCCAACTTCAAAAACAAATTGGACACGACTAAACAACTCATAGATATACTACAAGTAACAAAATGAGCTTGATATAAGTTGTCAAATAACACGAGAGAATGAGCTATGTGTGATTAAGTGACCTTTCTTGGCGGTTGAGGGTCGGTATAAGTGAGTGAAGGGGCCTAGTAGGGAGTGATAAAATACACAGTAGCTTATATTTCGGTATTGATCGGTATTTCGATATATTACCGATCACAATCTCGTATTCGCTAATACCAAATAACACTTGAAATGCAACCCCAATCTCAATCCCCGGAAATAATACGTGTATTCGGTTATACCAAATATCAACAAATTCGATACAAAATTCGATAATATCCCAAATACCAATACCAAACTTACAACCCTAATCTCAGCTATCAAACCGTTATATCCGAACCCATTAGAGGTTGGCCTCACTAATTTCTACCATAATGGGGATTTCATGGTTAAGTTAATCGTCTCAGGTTCATAATTTAGACATTCGACCTTCAAATAACCGTAAGAGGAGTTCGATCATAACAAAAATAAATCATCATACTAATGCATTAGTGTGTCGTCCTACACGATAAGGCTAGACTTTCTAGTTGGGGAGAAATTAAGACGGGCCCATATTCGAGGGACCCCCATCCCGACCGGTTTGTCTCAATTTCCACTGCTCCATGTCCCTTATAACATGGAGGAAATTATGGCAGCTTTCCTCCCCCTTCCTCCCTACTCCTCTCTTCCTACTTGCCCCTCTGCCCTTTCTCCTACTCCTTCCCTTCTCCTCCTCATTCCTACTTCTTCAAGTATCAGCCCCTTAAAGAAAACAAATCCAAGAACTTTGCCCATCGATCATCGCACGCCCCCTTCCACTCTAAGCTACCAAAAGCATAGCCACAAAAGATTGCCAAAAAGATAACCCCACTTGCCACTTTTCTCTCCATCATTCCAAATCATATCCCAAAGCAAAAGAAAACAGAGCCCAGAACCCAAAAGCTCTTTCTCTTCCGACGAGTTGGCACCTGAACGAACCAAACCACAAAATCTAAGTCCAGAGAGAGGGGATGGAGATCGAATCAGTGAGGTGCGAGTGTTGTGGGTTGGAAGAAGACTGCACGCAAGACTACATCTCTCAAGTCAGGGACACATTCGACGGTAAATGGCTATGCGGGCTGTGCTCAGAGGCCGTTAGAGACGAAGCCATAAGAGGGAACAGTAACAATAAAACCAAGAAGTCTGCCGTTGCTTCTTCTGGGATGATGGAAGAAGCCGTCAGAGCTCACATGTCCTTCTGCGGCAAGTTCAATTCCAATCCGGCGGTTCGAGTCGCCGACGGTATGAGGCAGATGCTCCGGAGGCGCTCTGGGGAGCTTTCTTCTTCTCCCTCTTCCTCTAAGAAGTACTCCAGATCCGCCAGCACCAAACTTTACTAAGCTGGTGAAAAGAAACAGAGTAAGAAAAAAACAGGGGAAAAACAGAGGGAAACAGGGGAGAAAGAGAGTTTGGGCTCTCTGCTTCAGCCTCAAGAGAAAAAAAAAAAAAAAGAGGGGGAAAAGGCAGAGCTTTTTGCTTGTTTCCAATATAAGGTAGCCGTCGATTGATTGATCGTCTTCTTCCATAGCTACTAAGGTTATCAAACTTCTGGATGTATTTTGTACAGTGGGGAATCATTATGTTAACACAATTTCTAAGAGGAGCCTCTTCTTCTTCTTCTTCTTCTTCTCCCGTTTAGCTATCTTTGCCCATTTTTGCTGGCTTTTGCTGCATTTTCTTTTCCATTATCATGCCTTGAAGTTGACAGACATTTTCGTTCTAGGGTAAATCTCTGAGACTATTGATGGAGACTAATATGTCACTAATGTCCCATAGGCATGGCAAGAAATTGAGAAAAGCTTGGAACTTTTTCCATTTCTGGGTATAACCCAGCTGCTTAAACGTTTAGTTTTTGCAAAACCAGAAAAGGGTTGGTAACAAAATCTCGTTCCAATAAGGTTTTGCAGAAGTCAATGTATTTCCTAACCAATTACAGCTAATGTGCATTCCTGCAATTATAAACTCCACTATACAATATGGTGGTGGCACCATAGTTTAGGATTTCCGTTATTTCCTATGATCCTGTTTTTTGGAGCAATTAAGAAACATTACTTTGGTACAGTTTGTTGAGGCGGTTGACGTGGGAGAGAGATTTTTAGAACCTGGGGCTCCATTACTGATATAAAAACCCAACGATATTGTAACACCCCAATCCACATTAACATTGTGTTTCCCTAATTACCCTTTTCCAACCATATAATTGAGGTGATCTCAGTTCCATGCACCTGTCAAATCACTCACCAACATCTCATTTACACCCCCATCTCTCATCTCGTGAACCCATTACCCATCCTCATTCATAACTAGATAAGAGAAGAGACCTCTTCCTTTCTCCCTTTACAACCGACAGCCTTTAATCGCCCAACCACTTCCTGTTGTCGTGTGATAATTGAGAGAGGGTCTTTCTGGGGCTTTGATAAATAAAGATGGAAACCTTTCTTTCTTCTTCCCATTGCACCACCATCATGAACAGAGGAAAGACGAGAGAATGAAATAAAAGAGAGGGAACCCAGCTCATGTGGGTTGTGTTAGAGTAATCAAGGTATCCGGAAGCCAACTACGAAGTCAGAATCGCCATGGGAGGTTCGTAGAAGCTCATGGGAGGCTCGTCGGGAAGTTGCGTCCACGGCCCCGGCGTCGTCGACTTCAACAAAACTCCAAAAGGCTGGTACCATGACGAAGAGGACGATCCCAGGAGCATCCTAGTTTCGACGAAATTAAATTTGGAGGTCTGTAGATGCCTCGTCGGAGCTTCGCCGGAACGTCGCCGGAGTGTCGCCGGATTCTGGAAAAATAAACTTCAACGAAACTTCAAAAGATGAATATGGTTGCGAAGAGGGCGATCTCAGGAGCGTCACGGTGTCGACGAAATCGAATTCGGACGTCGGATAAAGGAGAACCGAGTCTCCCAAGTTTGAGGAAGAATATGTCGACCCAAACAAGGAACAAGGGCCATACATCTTTGTATCAATGTCTAGGCACGAATACAAGGTAAGGAAACTCGACCCATCGCGTTTAAAACGGCATTTGGACTACTAAATAGGAGTTTATAGTTTTCTGGGAAATTAGCGACGGAATTACAGGCTTTTAGCAACAAAACAGCCGCCGTGGCTATAGTCTGGCCAACCAGTGTCAGTGGCATTCCTTTTAGGGACGAGATGTTATAGTTTTAGTGACTGTTCCGGCGACTGTCACTAAAGGAGCTGTATCTTTTGCATATTAAGTCCCTAGGTGAATTATGTAAAGTTATTTGAATTAATGTGCAATTGAGTTAATAGACATGCATAGATTAGGATGTTAATAAGTTATTAGTTGATAAAATGGTTTAGTCTGAGTTAATTAAGTATTTTATCCAATAATATAAAGACTATAATATGATAAGAGGTTTTTAAGCAATTTAATGGATTAAGATGATTTAAGTTTTAGTTAGAAAATATTAGTTTAACCAGTATGATATTTGATATGATTAGTAAGTAAAATTTATCATTGGCAGTTAATGGGTAAATCTACTAGTTTATTTAGTATGGTAATATATGTTATTATATGCTAGGTGAAAGTGATTTTAGCATGATTAGTTCCAAGTATTTAAATTGGCATAGATTTAAGGAGCGGAGGTTTTATATGACAAATTATTTAATACGTCAATTAATCGTACTTTGCAATTATTGCGAAGTAGTTCCAAGTCGAGAGAACCGTAGCTAAGAACCCGAAACCCAATCGATCTAACCTCGACTTTCGTCATAGGTTCGCCAAGGCATTTCACCCATGAAGAGCACCGATTTCTTGAGTTGGTGGCTAAATCCGACTTAAGCTAATAAGGTGCGTGGTTTGAGGGGGCATTAGTTAGTATTCCATTCTGAGTTATTTACACTGCATGTTGCTTGAATTAATTGATATGCCTTTAAATGCTATTTATGCTTGAGCTATGTGTTCATGAGATCCATTTCCAAGTTTATGAATTATGTTCATTTCTTAAGCATGGCATGGCATGGCATTGCATCGCAAAGTTATGTTTTAAGACAAGACGATACAAGTTATGTTTTAAGTATGCATAGCATGATCATGTTTCATGGATACATATGTTTTAAGCAAGTCAAGTTACTTTTAAAAGAAGTACGGTTTTATAAGTTAAGCAAGTCATAAGATTGGATCTCCCATTGAGCGGAGGATGATCATCATGTCAAGCAAGTAGGTTCAGTAAGTAAGCAAGATCATGTTTTAACCCTCACTTAGCTAGCCGCACGCGGTCACCTCATGTTATGATTAAGGAGGTCACGAACCCTACTCCTGGGTAAAAAGGAGGTTACGAACCCCACTCCTGGGTAATAAGGAGGTCACGAACCCTACTCCTGGGTAATAAGATCATGTTCAAGTATGTCGGTGATCGTGGTGGCGTGCTAGTTAAGTTGAGCTCGGGGCCCCCTTTTCGTAAAAATGTCTATTTCAAGGTAACCATTTACAAGTCATGTAAGCATTTTCATACACGAGCATTACATGAGCATTTGCACTCATTATGTATGTGGGTTCATTTTATATATGATGTCAAGAATGGAATTAGGATTAGGACTGACCCCAACGCCCGCATTCAGGAATCATAGAAGCACATATCACGCATATGGATTCAGCGATTCATCATTGGCTCCAGAGCACTCCAGAAGGAAGAGGTTAAGTTCAGTACTTTAGTGGGACGAGAGACTTGATGTGATTTTACGATGAAGATTTATTAAGACAAATATCTCAAGGTTGTTCATGTTTTAAGTATTGTTAAATGTACGAGGTTTCCGCTGTTGTTCAAAGCATTTTAATATTCTTTACTTTTCAAGGGTATTTTAGTAAAAGTAGCACCCTGTCGGGTCGGGGTGTTACAGCTTGGTATCAGAGCCGGTTTCCCTCTGTCTTCACTATCTAAGTGAGATACTGGGAAATCGATCTCTATGTTTTCAAGGAAAGTTTTAAAAGGTTTTGGCAATTTCAACTAGCCAATTGAATTCAAGATTAGTTTTGAAAACATCAAGTCTCGTTCTCTAATAGTTCTGGAGTGGTAAACCAAGACGGTTGGTTCATGGTGGTTAAGGAATGACAAGATACGAATTAAGAGGATACGAACAGTTTAAGAATAAATATGGGGACTTTGATTTAGGTAGAAGCGATAAGTTATGTCAAACCAGTTCAGGAAATGCGATTGCTCATGGATATGGCCGATAACAAGTTCACACGACTAGACGTTAGAGGCTACAGTCAACAGTAAATTTCGAGGACGAAATTTTTATAAGAGGGGAAGAAATGTAACACCCCAATCCACATTAACATTGTGTTTCCCTAATTACCCTTTTCCAACCATATAATTGAGGTGATCTCAGTTCCATGCACCTGTCAAATCACTCACCAACATCTCATTTACACCCCCATCTCTCATCTCGTGAACCCATTACCCATCCTCATTCATAACTAGATAAGAGAAGAGACCTCTTCCTTTCTCCCTTTACAACCGACAGCCTTTAATCGCCCAACCACTTCCTGTTGTCGTGTGATAATTGAGAGAGGGTCTTTCTGGGGCTTTGATAAATAAAGATGGAAACCTTTCTTTCTTCTTCCCATTGCACCACCATCATGAACAGAGGAAAGACGAGAGAATGAAATAAAAGAGAGGGAACCCAGCTCATGTGGGTTGTGTTAGAGTAATCAAGGTATCCGGAAGCCAACTACGAAGTCAGAATCGCCATGGGAGGTTCGTAGAAGCTCATGGGAGGCTCGTCGGGAAGTTGCGTCCACGGCCCCGGCGTCGTCGACTTCAACAAAACTCCAAAAGGCTGGTACCATGACGAAGAGGACGATCCCAGGAGCATCCTAGTTTCGACGAAATTAAATTTGGAGGTCTGTAGATGCCTCGTCGGAGCTTCGCCGGAACGTCGCCGGAGTGTCGCCGGATTCTGGAAAAATAAACTTCAACGAAACTTCAAAAGATGAATATGGTTGCGAAGAGGGCGATCTCAGGAGCGTCACGGTGTCGACGAAATCGAATTCGGACGTCGGATAAAGGAGAACCGAGTCTCCCAAGTTTGAGGAAGAATATGTCGACCCAAACAAGGAACAAGGGCCATACATCTTTGTATCAATGTCTAGGCACGAATACAAGGTAAGGAAACTCGACCCATCGCGTTTAAAACGGCATTTGGACTACTAAATAGGAGTTTATAGTTTTCTGGGAAATTAGCGACGGAATTACAGGCTTTTAGCAACAAAACAGCCGCCGTGGCTATAGTCTGGCCAACCAGTGTCAGTGGCATTCCTTTTAGGGACGAGATGTTATAGTTTTAGTGACTGTTCCGGCGACTGTCACTAAAGGAGCTGTATCTTTTGCATATTAAGTCCCTAGGTGAATTATGTAAAGTTATTTGAATTAATGTGCAATTGAGTTAATAGACATGCATAGATTAGGATGTTAATAAGTTATTAGTTGATAAAATGGTTTAGTCTGAGTTAATTAAGTATTTTATCCAATAATATAAAGACTATAATATGATAAGAGGTTTTTAAGCAATTTAATGGATTAAGATGATTTAAGTTTTAGTTAGAAAATATTAGTTTAACCAGTATGATATTTGATATGATTAGTAAGTAAAATTTATCATTGGCAGTTAATGGGTAAATCTACTAGTTTATTTAGTATGGTAATATATGTTATTATATGCTAGGTGAAAGTGATTTTAGCATGATTAGTTCCAAGTATTTAAATTGGCATAGATTTAAGGAGCGGAGGTTTTATATGACAAATTATTTAATACGTCAATTAATCGTACTTTGCAATTATTGCGAAGTAGTTCCAAGTCGAGAGAACCGTAGCTAAGAACCCGAAACCCAATCGATCTAACCTCGACTTTCGTCATAGGTTCGCCAAGGCATTTCACCCATGAAGAGCACCGATTTCTTGAGTTGGTGGCTAAATCCGACTTAAGCTAATAAGGTGCGTGGTTTGAGGGGGCATTAGTTAGTATTCCATTCTGAGTTATTTACACTGCATGTTGCTTGAATTAATTGATATGCCTTTAAATGCTATTTATGCTTGAGCTATGTGTTCATGAGATCCATTTCCAAGTTTATGAATTATGTTCATTTCTTAAGCATGGCATGGCATGGCATTGCATCGCAAAGTTATGTTTTAAGACAAGACGATACAAGTTATGTTTTAAGTATGCATAGCATGATCATGTTTCATGGATACATATGTTTTAAGCAAGTCAAGTTACTTTTAAAAGAAGTACGGTTTTATAAGTTAAGCAAGTCATAAGATTGGATCTCCCATTGAGCGGAGGATGATCATCATGTCAAGCAAGTAGGTTCAGTAAGTAAGCAAGATCATGTTTTAACCCTCACTTAGCTAGCCGCACGCGGTCACCTCATGTTATGATTAAGGAGGTCACGAACCCTACTCCTGGGTAAAAAGGAGGTTACGAACCCCACTCCTGGGTAATAAGGAGGTCACGAACCCTACTCCTGGGTAATAAGATCATGTTCAAGTATGTCGGTGATCGTGGTGGCGTGCTAGTTAAGTTGAGCTCGGGGCCCCCTTTTCGTAAAAATGTCTATTTCAAGGTAACCATTTACAAGTCATGTAAGCATTTTCATACACGAGCATTACATGAGCATTTGCACTCATTATGTATGTGGGTTCATTTTATATATGATGTCAAGAATGGAATTAGGATTAGGACTGACCCCAACGCCCGCATTCAGGAATCATAGAAGCACATATCACGCATATGGATTCAGCGATTCATCATTGGCTCCAGAGCACTCCAGAAGGAAGAGGTTAAGTTCAGTACTTTAGTGGGACGAGAGACTTGATGTGATTTTACGATGAAGATTTATTAAGACAAATATCTCAAGGTTGTTCATGTTTTAAGTATTGTTAAATGTACGAGGTTTCCGCTGTTGTTCAAAGCATTTTAATATTCTTTACTTTTCAAGGGTATTTTAGTAAAAGTAGCACCCTGTCGGGTCGGGGTGTTACAGATATCATGGACGTATCTTAAGTTTTTTTCCCATATTAAAATTGGCGGTGAAAAAGAAGAGTAGAAAAAGGTAAAAATGTTCAATGAAAGCTCAACCTCCCCATACAGGCCACCACCAGAAGAAAGCCACTTAATGTAGATGATTAACAGACTATCAAATCTATTTAAGGTAATGTCATGGTAATGGTTGAAACTTTGAGAAACACAGGATGAAGAATTTGTTATTTAAGGTCAGTGTTGGTGAGGTTCAAAACAAAGCTTTATGCAAAGTTGTCTTATTAGGGCATATGGGTTTACGGAGTTGCGATTTGAAGGGGATGCTAAGGTGATTATTGATAAGGTCAATCAATCGGATACTAGGGATAGTCTGATAGGGGCGCTTCTTGAGGAGGTTGTGCGATGCTTGGAGCTTCAGAATGGGTTCTCTGTGCGATTTGTAGGTCGGAGTAGTAATAGGGTAGCCCACTTGATGGCTAAGAAGACCCTTCAATTGTACCCGACTACGAGTCGTTTGTTTGATTTTATGGTCTGGTCAAATTCCAGAATGTAACTATCTTCGCTTCTGATTAAATTTTGTAAAAAAAAAACTTATTAGAGCTAAAATGATTCTTGACATTCCAGTATGATAGTAATTGTGTTTGAATTACTACCATTCTCAATACTAATTTTGTATTTACTTAGAAGTCTAGAGAACCTCTATAAATTTGAGAATGAAAGTGACTGACCATAAACTTATAAGCTCGTTGTAGTTTGATCAAATGATAATTATATAATGGTATTAGATTACAACACTGGATAATTGATTTTGAATTAATAATTTTAACAGATTGTTTGGTATCAAATGAATCGAGAATTCATTTCATTGTAAAATGAATTACCGTATAGAATTCATTCTCAAATGAAATATTGTGTTTGGTATGTCATATTCAAATTTTTAAAAATAAAATAAATTGTTGTATATAATTCATAGTCAAATGAATTCATGTGTTTGGTATGTTATATTTATAACTAATTTAGTTAATAAAAGAGGATAACTGTATCGTTCTATTAAAAATAGTAAATAGTTGTGAAATTCATTTGGAAATTACATCTCAATTCCTCGGAATTGCTATAACTAGTTCCAATTGCGTAGAATTCAAAATTCAGAATTGAAAATGAATTTTTTCAAATACCAAACACAAAAAAAAGTTCATTTCAAAATGAATTCCTCAGAACTTATGAAATTTATTTATACACAAACGTTATGTAAGAGTTTCAAGCGTGACTTTTGTTATATATTTCGAAAATGAGTTAAAAAGTTTGATATGAAATTAAGAGCCAAATCGTCCAGTAACTAAAATTAATGCAAGAGATCCGAGACCCACAACCTTCTTAATAACATAATACATGTTGTTAATATCACGGTGACATGGTTCCCAAGTTATTTGGAAACAATTATAAAAAAAGAATTATTTTGAGATACTTATCGACCTATCGTAGTATTGCCACCTATGTGAAGCCTTGTTTTTCATAAGCTTAAAATGATTCATTGTTGCTAGTTTTCAACCATGAAATATAAATGCTAAAGTGCCCTCTTTACCAGGGATTGAGAATAATAAGTAACAATAATGATGAACAACTTTCGTTTTTGATTATACTTTGCAGACTTTCGGTTCGGTCCAACTCCTGAACTTTCCATACATCCGATTTCGACAGATGTGTAAATGGTGATCGATTAACCATTTTAAAGGGAATCTGATGTAAGAGCACTGAGAAATCAAAGGAGGGAATTGAGGTCATTACACAGGAAAGGAATACGGTGGTGTGCTGTGAGTTTGGGTGTGCTGTTGTGGCGGCTTAACATTGATTTGGTGCACTACATACATTGTGGTCCTTATAAATGTAATCTAATGCCGTATGTTATATTATTGTATTATATTATATACATGAAATGATACAATTTTAACATTTTGAAATTACATTGTTTTGTTGAGGAAGGAGATCATGAAGGAGTGCCATGATTCCAAATGGGCGGGCCACCTCGGCATCAAGAGGACGCAATAGCTCATCGAAGAAGCATACTTCTGGCCGCGTATGAGAGAAGACGTCGAGATGGATGTGAAGACTTGTCTTGTATGCCAACAAGACAAGATGGAGCAGAGAAGCTCGATAGGCTTGCTAGAGCCCTTGCCCACGCCTCAACGACCATGGAAGAGTGTAAGCATGGACTTCATCATCAGACTTCCCAAAGTCGACGGATGCGGTTGCATCATGGTTGTTGTGGACAGGTTCTCGAAGTATGGAGTGTTCATTCTTGGGCCAAAAGACATAACGACGGAGGATGTGACACGACTATTCTTCAAGAACGTGGTCAAGTTTTGGGGCATCCCTAGCAACATCGTAAGTGATAGAGATGGGCGCTTCACGGGAAGATTTTGGCGAGAGTTGTTCAAGATTATGGGCTCCGACTTGAACTTCTCAACGGTATTTCATCCGCAAAGCGACGGACAGACGGAGCAAGTGAATGCCTTGTTGGAGGTGTACTTGCAGCACTACGTGAGTGCAAACCAGTGAGATTGGGTGAATTTGATGGACACGACACAGTTTTCCTACAACTTGCACAGTAGCGAGTCGACCAACACGAGCCCATTCGAGTTGGTGAGGGGGCATCAGTCGTTGACGCCTACGACGGTGACAACAGGGTATAGAGGCAACAATCCGACAGCCTACAAGTTCGCTAAAGGTTGGCACGAGAAGATAGAGATGGCCAAGTCTTACTTAGCCCACGCTAGTAAGAAGATGAAGAAGTGGGCGGACAAGAAGAAACGAAACTTGGAGTTTGAAGAGGGAGAGATGGTGACGGTGAATTTCTACCCTCACCGCTTCAAGCATCTCAAGAACGTGCACAAGGGACTGCTTTGCTGCTATGAAGGGCCATTCCCTATCGTGAAGAGGATTGGCAAGGTGGCGTACAAGGTGGAGATGCTGTCACATCTGGAGATCCATCTGGTCTTTCATGTAAGCTAACTCAATGCTTTCAACGAAGACAAGGAGGACGAGAGGCGGACGTAGTCACATCGCGCTCTACACTCGTCACCAAGACACACGACCATGAAGTCGAGGAAATCATGGCGCGTCATGTCATTCCTCGTCGAGACGTTTATCCAAGTTATGTTGAGTACTTGGTTAAGTGGCGCAACCTTTCGGAGAGTGAAGCTAGTTGGTGGGAGAATGAGCTCTCACTTTGGAAGAACAATGACTTGATCGAGGCTTTCCATCAAGAGGACGCGACGAGGGCGTCGCGAGCATAGGTGGGGGAGGATGTCACATGTGGCAGATGACATGACGCCAACAAGGTGACAACATGGCAGCTGCACATGTGGCGTGTATGGAAGACTAGAAGTACAGAGATGCTCCTAGGATTCTCCACCTAAATGAGAGCTTAATGGTGCGCTTATGAGTCACATAATGGGTAGCGTTATTAGAGTGCATTATGGTGGGAATTAATGAGGTGTAGTAATGGAGAGAGACATTATGAGGGGCATTGATGCCTTGTACGAGGAGAGACCTATATAAGGAGCCATCTCCTTCACTTGTAACTCATTCCACATTTTTTAGAGCAATACACACTAGAGAGTTCCCCCACTTCCTTTGTCTTCTTGCTTTCCTTTGCTTGCTTGTGAGTTTGAGAGAAGGTTGCTTAGTTCTCTAAACTATTTGAGAGCTAAGGCCGCACGACCGAGAGTAAGGTCGTGACATGGGCCACAGACGGACCCCCAGCCAGTTCTACTTCAACGCCCGATCGGGGAATATCAATTCAGGACTGGGATTCGACACGAGGGGGGGTGCGAGTACAGACAATAGGTTATGGAAGGTGAGTTCCGCCGGTATTCTCTTTGTCTTCAAACTTGACTCGATGGATTTAACTTACCAATTCGCTGAGTGACACGCTATGACACAACTCCTAACAATGGCCAAGTGTAACCAATGAAAGGGACTGCAGTATAGTGGCTCAAGTAATAAATATCGAA